TCCATAACTGTCTGTTGATGCCGTGACAATGACTTGTGAAATGCATGCTCAGGGAATGGAATAAACTCGGTAACGTGGCTCGCAGTGAAATGAACGTGTCAGATTTGTCCCGGAAGCCATATGTTCATTGTGTGTCACAATTAACATGCCATGTGACAGTGACAAACCTTCCGCCGCCCTCACGGCTGCTGACCATGTTCATGTCAGCCCCTCTCTGTTTTCCCTTGCCTGTGACCAAGGAAGTTAAACCCAGTAGGATAACCCATAATAGGATGCTTGTTTAACGCCTATATGTTAACGTCACCACTACACTAGGCCACATATTGCGCTGGTTTGGTATTCTTCGCCCAATGTTATTACATGGTGTGGTGCTTGTTACCTGTCAGGATTGTCCTGCAACAGTGGCATGCCACAAGTTCTCGTGTGTGCCCTCGAATTTTACAACGACTCTGAGTTTACTTTTGATGTGGATTTTGCAGTGGGGTGAATTGGCAGATTTCAGTCGCTAGGATGACTCACTTGCTGTCCAATTAAATGTAAATTTGTAGACTGCAACATGCCCTCGCATTTGCAGCCCAGTGTGGAAGCGATGTGTATATGGAAACTAGTGTTTTGTGGTACAGCTTTCTGTTTTTTTGTTCTGAAAGACGCCACCAGGAAATCCATTCGTTTAGTTGTAAGACAGGGACACTTTGCTCAGCTCCACGGCTAAGCCAGAGGATGCAGAACGATTGAGTTGCATTCAGCTTATGATCCTAAAACCTATATTGAAAAAGACTGCTCGTCTATTCAGGCACTCGACAAGCTACGAGGTCAACATTCGTTAATAGTCCGGTTTTGACACCCACTCAAACACTTAATACCAACAGATGGCTCAAAACGCCTTATAAAACTGTGAAAAATTGGAGGCAGCCTAAGCCCAATACGGGCATACACCAGGCTTCCGACACATAAGAGCAAAAGATGTGCTGCTGGAAGTCACACCAGATCAAAAGAGGGGCAGCTGGAAGACACATAAGGGCAGGACGACGGGCAGCTGGGAGCTGACTCTTAGTACAGTTTGTTCGCTCGTTGACGGTTTATGGACGCTTCAGTGTGCTTCGACCATGAGGCAGGTTACAGGCATGTCAAAAGAGCATGTGGATAAATGCACGCCAAGGACCCTTCGGTGGCAGGTGAAGTCACATGTCGTCAGCTGTCACACGTCACCAGCTGATCCGACACCCAGTGGCGTAAAGAGTTCGTTTAAAGCTAAATCAAAGAAAATATTCACCGTCACAGCGGTGTTTTTCTGGGAGCCTTGGCCCACTGTAACACCGAACACACTGACGCCAAACATAAAGTGCACTATTCGTTAGCATTGAGCACGACGCGTGAAGTTGACATCGCTTCATTAAACTATGCTTCCCCACCGGACCAAGGTTTCCAAAGAGAGTTTTCACCGTCGCTGGTAACAGAGCAACATAAATGTACATCAAACTGGCCTGGCGTCAGGTCGGCACATGATATGTAGCTGTCAAACAGCTCAGGCGCCCAGTGATCGGACCTGACCGCGGCCTGTACAGCTGCCTTCTCATGGCTCAATGCAAACACCTTTAGTGGGTCCAACTGTAAGTCGCTGCTGGTGATGCCGGTCGGCATGGCTGCCACCGATCGTTCGCACCCACGCTCATTCCCAGGCCTGTTCTGTTGTGTGGGATCCATTCTGTTCTGAGTTAATATCCCTGCTACACTTACTCCATCATATATTCAACAAAGCTCCTACTGATATCGGAGTTAATACAGCGCGCCCGCCGCTTGCACGGCCGTCTGATGCTTCGCAGCCGTCACGGCTGGTGACACTCCGGGTCGAAATCGCCCCAAGCAGACCACCACAGCTTCGCAGTCATCACGCTGGTGGCAGACCGGGTCGAAATCGCCCCAGCTGACCACCGCAGCTTCGCAGCCATCACGGCTGGTGGCAGTCGGGTGGAAATCGCCCCAGCAGACGATCACAGCTGGTGGCACTCCGGATCGAAAATCACCCCAGCAGACCGCCACAGCTTCGTAGCCATCATGGCTGGTGGCAGGCCGGATCGAAATCAGCGAACCACCGTGGTTCCTCCGGACGGAGCCGCCGCACCTGACCACGGCCGGCACACGTCAGACCGCGCTGGTGACGTCACAGCGCACGTCACGCCCGTCAGGAGCAGAGTCGCCTCGGCGGTCGCCCCGGGGCACGCTCGGAAACAGAAGACTCAGCTGTTTGGCGAGGGTGGTGAAGACAGTGTGGCAAATGCAGCAGCAACCACATCGAGTGTCGTTCACATTGTTCCGTTCGCAACCCCGCTGAATCATTGATTCGTTGGTGCTCGTTACCGCCATTTCGCTGCGTGAGCGTCCCTCAGAATCATTTCCTTGTCCAGCTCAACGCTAATGCCAGCTGGAGTACGGGAAGGCTCCAACAGACGTATGCGTCCGGTTCACGTGTTGCGTTGCTTATTGTGCGCGACGGCAGAATGTCACTGGCGTATGTACTCGTGCTACACGGTCTGATTCTACATTAGGAAATTCAGAAGAGCTATTTGCCAGGCAGAACAGCCCGGTCGTAAAAGTCGGGGTAGCGGCAAGTCAACTGCTGTGTTCATAGCGCCAGTGCGGTCCATCACGCGCCCTGAGCCCAACATGAGGAGAAGGGAAGTCGGTCGCGTTTACAGTGGTGTAGCCAGAAGGCCGCATTCCTGGTGTCCTGCGACCCTGCAAAAGCTAGGAAGGGCAACGATGACAAATTGGTATTTCTTGCATCAAATTTTCAGTTGGCACGCACCTTTGGATTCTCTATCCTTCTGTTCAAACCCGTCGTGTGCCACTGTATTCAATGCCGTCATTTCCTTACCGAATGATTTGTCGTCAGGCATATCAGTCGGGCATCGTTTTCGCGATGTGACATCTCAGATGAGGTCGATGCAGCGTTTCAGACGAGATGAATTTGGCGTTTCAGACAAGATCGATGTAACGTTCCAGAAGAGATTGATGGAGCGTCTCAAACGAGATCGATGTAACTTCTCAGACAATATCGATGTAGCGTCTCAGACGAGGTCAATGTAGAGTCTCAGCCGAAATCTATGTGCCGTCTCGGACGAGATCTATGAAGAAACTATCACCTACCGCAGGCCTAGTATGGATTGTTTGCCGTGAAAGAATGTTTGCCAGCGGACGAAGATTTTTCACTCAAAGATGAAGAACCCCTGGTGTCCTTGTTTCGAGACATTTTTCGAATCCCCGGTGTCCCGGGCTCTGCACGGATTGAGTAAATTAAAACATAGCTGCGTTTAAATCACAGGTGTTGATTTGTATTCTTTATGACAGTTCTGACCCCCTCACCCTAATGTTAAGCTGGCTTGAATATAATAAGAATGTAAGAAAAAGCTGGCAATCACACACAACCATCATATTTGCTCGTTCCTCGTAATGGCGTTATCATGGAGGATACAATGGATTGACTTGACCCAGCAATTCAAAACTATTTCCTGATATGGGAGATGACACAACACGTCGTTAAAGCATTTTGTAGTGCGACTTTTATTCTTCCACCTTAAGCTTAGGTGCTTTTTTCCCCGCAACATGAACTTTAAACTGACGCCACTGATTCAGCGGTTTCATGGAAGCCCTTTTGTGCCAAGCGACATTTATTTACTACCGTGGAGGTTTACAAATCTAACATTGCTTCACGTAACGTTGGTACGCGAATTTCTCTGCTGCACGGTTTGATGAGAAGACAACACCGGGTAACGGAGTGATTTCATCGGTGCAGCGACGTTAATTCATACCACAGTTCCAGTTCAGCGACAAAGAGATAAACAGCCCTAAAACGTAAATTTTGCTGTCGAGGAACTTTCACCTGTCTCTGCGCTAGGCATACTTGATTGCTAGCATTCCGTACTCGCAATCCCGTTACTGTAATGCATGTTCAACGACATCAATTTTTTGTTTTGGTGAAGAAGATGATGCGCTGCGTAGAATGTGGTGGGCTGTAGGATGGTCTAGGATGTGACCACCTTTGAGAGGGTGGTGATGCGCTGGATGGGGGGTGCTGGTTTAATTTGAGGTGTGGCTGTTTGTGGGAGGGTGTCAAAGAGACATGAACAAGTGCCAGCGATAATGTTTCTCCGAGTTGACCTTTAAACGGTTTGTTTATCCACATGAAACCAGGCATCATCGTTCTGGAAATCAACAACTGGGCTTGCCAGGTCGCATAAGATGGAGAACGCCCAGACCTTTATGGGGGGCCCTGTTATGGAGTACCAGCAACTGCAGAGGCCATGTTAACGCCCGGTGACGTGGCACAACTTAGGCCTGAACTCGGACGTAACGTGGGAGCCGAAGGTGCTAACCAATCGACCATGACGCTCCCCCCTTCGCTGTTAGTTGCTGGGTGGAAAGGACATTGGAAAGGTCATCCTATCTGCTGCTGGTCGACGCTTCCGAACGCAACGGAGACAACTTGTTCGTAAGAAGAAAAACAATCGGGCACTCTAATTCACCGGAACTCCAGATAGGAGCTCAGCCAAGTAAAGGTCGTCTAGCTAGCACAAATCCCTACAACTCACATCAGCACAAGCAGCTTGGAGGCTCCGGGGTCTTTCGGCGCTAATTCCTATCATTTATCTTCAGTCGTCAAAGAAATTCTGTCTCCAGGTTCCCGCACCCCGACTGGTCCCCAGGGGACCCGCCCGCACTTGCAAGCTCAGGGCCCCGAGGAGCTGGCGGTCGGAAGCGGTGCAGACGTTATGTCCCGTGGGGGGGGGGGGGGGGGCACCGGTCCTAGCTGCAGGGTTGTCAGTGATTGCAGGGTCCCCATAGCAACAGCTTCGCTCGTCGCCACCAGAGCGCGTTCCACGCATCCCAGACGTGGTCTCGGGGCCGCGGCCGGGCGACGGTGGCGCCTCCACCTCCGCTGCGGCCACCGCTCCGGTCGGCTTCGGAACGTGGCCGGCTTGGTCAGTCGTCGGTCGGGCCGGCTTCCCGAGGATCGTGATGAAGGCGTGGGCGGTGCTGCTGTTGACATGCGTGGCGGCGGCTGGTGCATTGAGGACAGCTAAACAGTAAGCCGATGTTGCGCAGACTGGTACTGCTGAATGTACATGCGCCCATTGCTGAGTGTTCCACATTTGCATGGGGTTTGGAACTGAAATGGCCGTCTTAAAGATCATTCGGTGCAGTTCAGAACCATGCCCTTCTTAAGACCTAAACCCCCCTCGTTTTTTTGTGCAAGGTACTATGACGCAATCAAACTATGACACATTCCGGAACATATTTGGTTGCCATGGAAATTGTGTTATCTAGAGCGGTCTTTTCGACTTGAACGTATCCCAAAAGCTGTAAGTGAGCTTATTTCATGATCTGATGCTTACTTCGATCGGCAAAAAATACAGTTCCTTGAAGAGCCTGTCAGCGCCCACGTTCCGCCGCCTATGATCCGACTGCAGCTTTCTGTTCAACAGAGATGCGGGCAGGATCTCTGCTCCACAAAGAGGTGGGCAGGATTTCTGTTCCATAGAGAGGCGGGTAAGATCCCTGCTCCATCGCCTATGATCCGACTTCGGCTGTCTACGCCACTGTCCGTTTTATACTTCAATCATGGTTCCGTAGGCGTCCGGTACCTCAAACGCCTACGCAACGCGCTGTTTCGCGGTATGCGCCGTACCTATGTTGCTATGGATACGCCAGATTCAGCGCCGTATGCCACTTACCATCCTGTTTGGGACTCTACCTAAGAAGAACGTCGCTCTACTCAGTCCCTCTACCGGACAGTGCACAACCTATGATTCCACCCAGCCCCTGACTGCTCCCATCACCCAACCAACCCGTGACTCTACCCAGCTTATGACTGCACCGAAGTCGTACTTACACATGACTCTACCTCCAAAGTCTCCTAGATCATTCTGCGCTGATTTCGTTTGTGGACCTTGCCTGTCAAATCACACTGAGATGGGCTGTTTCCTGCCACGGCGGCCGTGCGAAGCGAGACAAAAAAAATGGAGTTTCGAAAAACAAATCCTGCTTTCCATCGCGATGCTCTGCTTTGAACTGGTGTCAGCCAGGTCGGGTCTTCACCGCGATGCAACCTCCCCAGACAGGCCGCTGGGCCGTGAAGTGGGCTGCTAAGGATCTCGTGATTGGGGGATTCTTGCTAAGAACGCTCTGCTCGGAAAACCTGAATTCAGATACGCCCGGACCACCACTTCTGAATAATCATTTATGGGCGTTTCTCGGGCTCAGATGAGAAACGAAAGTCGAGCTGCGACTCTCCCATCGATTAAAGCCCAATACGCCAAGCACCAGGCGCGCTCAGAGCGTACCGGTTCATCAGGACGTGCAAACAGCAGACAGGCCCATAGGCACCCCTCAATTTCAGATTAACGCGCTTAAGGCATTGCCACAGGGCTGATGATTGTTGGTGGTCGCAGGCTGTTGATGCTTGCGCAGGAAGTTTGAGCGTGGTGAACTGCTCTGACAATGTCCCGGTCTTTGCCTGCGTCCCTGCCCTGCCCATAACCCCGTACCTGCCCCTGTCCCTGTCCCTGTCCCTGCGCCCGCCCTCTGCCCCTGTGCCTGCCGCAGCCATTGTCTCTGTTCCTATGCCTGTCCCTGCTTCCGTATCTGTATCTGTATCTGTATCCGTATTTGCCTCGGTATCCGTATTTATATCCATCTCTGTATCTGTTTCTATATCTGTATCTCTCCCTGTATCTGTCTCTGCATCTATCGCTGTGCCTGTCTCCATATCTGTATGTAGCTATGCGTCTGCCCCTTCCCCTAATAATTCGGTCATGTCTGTTACAACCGAGGCATCGAATCCAATCGTAGCTTGGAGTACCGCGTGCCTGATGCGGTCTTGGTTTCGATGCGTTTACCACAAAATGCCACGGACCACGTATGACAATGCGCAGTGGTCTTGATGCGCCATAGTGAAAAGCCAAGATTGTTGTGAATTTTCGACGGTATCATTTTGCCTTTCATCATCTGTGGAATGCATGGGATCATGAAGCGTTCGGGAGGGCCCGAGCAGGCTGTTTAGACTCATGCCAGCACCAGTCTGAGCAACACATCTTCAGCGGTCATGTTGTGTACTTGGATCGCATTGATTACTCTTCCAAATGTAATCAATGCGGTCCGGTCGCCTGTGCTCTGGTCTAGGTGGCAACGACCCCGGAGCAGCCCGCCGTGCCGAAAATGTCAGCTTTTATGTAATGAAATGTGGGCAGATATACCTGAATAAAGTGTGCCTCAAGCGTGTAAATATTGACGGACAAATCTGCCTGGAGACTAAACAGGGAGCGGCGCGAACGCTGCAAGCTGACGACGGCGCGTCGGATGGGCAGAGATGACCGTGACCAGGGTTGTAAAAAGGAAGCGAACTTGAACGAAAGCAACAAAGTCCGCGAGTTGCAATCATTTCAATGATCTGGCTGATGTAATTTTCCATTCCTCTCATTAGATCTATCGGAAAAATTGCCTGGCTAGATGCCGTTTGTGTTGACGCGTCGATTTTTGCCAGATGTTCCGTTCGTCCTAAGCTTCAGCCGGCCCAGTTGTGGTAGAGGACCTTCCAGGCGTCCTGTGCGTCTCATCGGTAACGTCATCCCCTTCCACAGCGGCTTCGTCTTAACGTCGTCCAAGGTGCTGCGGGCGGGCACCAGTCACCGTATCTGCATCACGCTCTTCAACGCGCCCGGGCCGAGGCGAAACGTGCACCTCACCGCCTGGGGCGATGCCGGGGGCTCCCCCTGGTCGACGCTGGTGGAGAGAATACCGGACACTGTGGGCGGTGAGCTTTCAAGGCGTACCTACTTCGGGTACACGGTGGGGATCACTTAAGAGGACCTTAGAGCTATCCCATTCGCGACATGCGTAAAACGGTGCTTCGTCATCAAAATCGCTTAGGAGCGCTTTAATTGCTCTCCTGTTTGCCAGCTACAAATCTGTATTACGGACTCCTCGAAATATCACATCCTGGACTTGGCTTTTGCGACAGTGGTTGCCATTTGCCTTCTGAACAACTGAAATCTTATTCTTGTGCTGGTCGTCGCTTTCTACTGTCACCCTGATTGGCTGTTGCTATTTTACCATCACTATCCTGATTGCCTGTCATCAACTCACATCTGACGATCTGATTGGCTCGGTTGCCGATCGGCCCCTCTGATTGGCTATCGCCCTGACTCTCCCGTCGTCCACAGCTGATGGCGACCACTGTTTTGACCTGGCCGTGCCGCGCACGGCGTCCGCTGGACTTGGTCACATGCTTCTCAAGGTCTCCAGTGCCACCGGGCTCAGATTATCAGATCTGGCGACGGTTCGTATACAAGATGCAAGGATGTAAATATGCAATATTCACTTCGCATGTCGAAACTTATTTCGCATGAGCGTCGAGGAAATGGCAAGTCATGCCCATAATTTAATTACGAGCTCATATTAGTGGTGTGCCCACCTGATCTATCAAGAGAAGACCGTAGACCTCGTGAGCCATGCTTCAGAGTTTATGGAGCTGTCACGTCAACTCGGCTATGACCTCGGGCCTTGGTAGGTCGACATTTCGGCACAGCTGGCCACGGAAGCACACATTTGCAGCTGCAACAACGGCCAGCCTTTCCAACTGCACTCTGATGGTCTCAAAACATTTCCGTTAACGCTGTGTGATCGGGCTTGACATTTCTCAAATATTGCAAGGCAGATCAAATAGAATCTAGCCCAGAGACGCAATTTCGCGAGGTCATTTGAGAAAGGCTGCCCATGTCAAGAACTGTCACTAGTCCCAGGTTTAGTCGAAGTGTAGTATCTCTGGGGGTTTGACCCACTGTTGCATCGAAGTCAGGGAGCAGTTGGAGGGGGTGGGGGTGGTACCGGCGGCGCACGCGGCCACGTTTCCGAACTGCGAGAAAGCCAGTTCGCTATACCAAGAGTATGTCAGAATCGCACGCATGGCGCAGAACAAGGTTCCGACAAAATGATCAGACTGCGGGTGCTGGGTGCACCGGCAACGTGTTGTTGCAGCAACAGAGAACGTGCGCGACCATGCGTGCGTGTAAAACACATGTTCCCCTTAAGCCATGCAGAGCTGCAGTTCAGTTGGCCCTGGAGAAGATCATGAGTGGTAGGGGCCCGGGACCGGACAGCGTGCCGAGCGAGGTTCTTAGGAAACTCGACCATGTGGGGAGGCACCACCTTCTCAACCTCATCCATAGAGCCGGATGTGAATCATGCATCCGCTTTGTGGAGATCGGCAGGGATTGTCAACAAGCACGAACCAGAGTGAAAAACTGCGAGTCACCGATATATCTCCTTAAAACACGACTGAGTTTTAATTGTTCAGCGCGCATGCAGGATAGCAAAGGCTTTCCTGATCATCAGGTCCCCGAGAATCAGGTGACTGCTCCCATGGCATGAAGTCAGACCGTGCCCTCCGACATGGCACCGGCCAAACGGTATATCTAAACACCGGCCATGCTCGTGAAGCCACCGCGGCGGGCGCCCGTGCGGCGGGCGCTGGTCGCTGGCCGCTGGTCGTTTGTGCGAAGGGCGCTGGTCGCTGGTCGCTGGCCGCTGGTCGCTGGTGCGGCGGGCGCTAGTTGCTGGTCGCCGGTGGGGCGGTTGCTGGTCGCTGGTCTTTTGTTGCTAGTGCGGCGGGCGCTGGCCGCTGGCCGCTGGCCGCTGGTCGCTGGTGCGGCGGGCGCTGGTCGCTGGTCGCTGGTTGGTACAGCGTTAAGCCTGCGGCCATCACTCACCAGTCGCTGTTATCTCCTCGATAGTTCCAGGGGAACGGGCCCGAACCATGCACCTGTCATCCACACTGACAGCCACATCAACCATCTGCGGAACCGAGGCTCGCAGACGGACACGACGCCATGCCCAACTGCCCGGGCTGACACCACGGACACGGAGCGGAGGGGCGAAATCTGTACAAATCCTGCGCTTGTCCCGTGTTGGCACCAGCCGAGATGCATCAGCCCCCATGTATCACAGACCTGACAACGATTTGTGCAGCTATCCCGGCACTGACAACGGCTTTCAGTGTAATGAACGTTGCTCGGTTACGCCTGGTTACAACAAGGCACCGGCTTTGTGAGACAATACACTACGCCAGTACAGCTGGCACTGAACGAGAGCTGGCTACCGTGACACCGACAGCTTGCATCTCAAGTGCTCAATATGAGACCAATGCAACAGATGGGCCTGCACACAGGCCAGCCCCTCTGACATCGGCAAGGTCACGCCGAGGTCGGGCGTCGGCAGACTGGCGCAGCAGAACACTCAGCGAGCCGTGACTGTACACGCCATCAGCTGTGACTGTACAGGTCATCAGCTGTGACTGTACAGGCCATCGAGCTGTGACTGTACAGGCCATCAGCTGTGACTGTACCGGCCATCAGCTGTGACTGTACTGGCCATCAGCTGTGACTGTACACGCCATCAGCTGTGACTGTACAGGCCATCAGCTGTGACTGTACAGGCCATCAGCTGTGACTGTACGGGCCATCAGCTGTGACTGTACCGGCCATCAGCTGTGACTGTACAAGCCATCAGCTGTGACTGTACGGGCCATCGAGCTGTGACTGTACAGGCCATCGAGCTGTGACTGTACTGGCCATCGAGCTGTGACTGTACTGGCCATCAGCTGTGACTGTACAGGCCATCAGCTGTGACTGTACAGGCCATCAGCTGTGACTGTACAGGCCATCAGCTGTGACTGTACTGGCCATCGAGCTGTGACTGTACTGGCCATCAGCTGTGACTGCACAGGCCATTGAGCTGTGACTGTACAGGCCATCAGCTGTGACTGTACAGGCCATCGAGCTTTGACTGTACAGACCATCGAGCTGTGACTGTACAGGCCATCAGCTGCAAAACGTTCACAGTGTCGCGCTAATGTGTGGACCATTAAGCAATTAATGAATCAGACAACTACCAAAATGTCCCTCACCGAATTACGCACTATTGACATTCACAACGGAAACTCTGCTGCAGCTTTGTTGATTGTGCGTTTGTTTGAAGCTGCATGCCATGCGAACTTCGCATGGTCTTTGAATTTCTGGACTGCTCTGCAGAAGTGAATTTGTGTCGGAATGCCTTCCAGGTCGGACCTCGTGTTGAGGCAGCAAAAGCATTGTGCTGCAGGGCGCTTTCAAGGGTTGCTTTAATATTTTGAAGGAACTGTCTATTATCCCGTTATATCAAGTCATCTACCTACAAACAAGTTTTAGCCATGCAGTAATTCTGGTCAAGGAGTTTTGGCCAGCGCAAAAATATTCGGTGAGAAGCATTCTCAATCTTCCGGCAGGCTTCCTGCTAATCGTATATGCGCCTTCACCGTCCTGCTGTACCGCGTTTCAGGTGACCATCAAGGCCTTCACGCTGGTGACGCTGATCCAGACAGACAAACCCCGATACCGTCCTGGGGATAAAGTCCTGATCCGTGTCATGGCCCTGAGATATGACCTCACGCCGATCATCGAAAACGTGAGCTGTACATCCTCGGATTAGTTCACTGCCGAACGCTATGAGTGAAATTTATTTTTTCAAAACAGCCGGTTAGCTATGTCCACTGGTCGTTATTGGATGGCTGTGATTATCATTACGGGACGCAGGCAGGTGGAGGTGAAGACCTGCCGAAGTCCTTATCAAGCTTACTTAGTGGTGACTGGTGCTGATAAACGGCAGCTCTATGTGCTAATAAACGCGAACTCCATGTGCTGGTGAGCGGGAGCTCCATGTGCTGATAAACCGGAGCTTCATGTGGAGCTTCCGTTAGGTTCTAAAGTGTTTTTACTCTGTTCGTATACTGAAAAGGAGCGCATCTGTTTCGTTGTAAGGATCAGTGCAAACTATGCATCGGATTTTTTGCTTCCGAATCGGCCACTGCTCCTCAGGTTCCTGAGGTGTGGGTGACCAGCCCAGACAACATCCGCATCGCCCAGTGGAGGGACATCAAGACCAGCGGAGGCCTGATCCAGCTGGAGATGCAGCTGACCGAGGAGCCACCCATGGTGAGGTCACATGAAGGTCAAGTGGTCGCTCGGGTGCAGTTATAGCCTAGCCCTGCCGGTCCCCTGCCTCCGGTGAAATCATCCTCTAGAAGAAGATTCGCTTCTGGTGAGGTCACTTGGAGAGCGAGGGTTCGCCCTGGTGCAGTCTTCCCCTCGCCCCGGTGAGGTTACTTGAAGAGCGAGGGTTCGCCCTGGTGCAGTCTTACCCTCACCCCGGTGAGGTCACACTCTGACCGATGGGCCGTCCCTGACAAAGCCATCAAACCACATGCTTCCATCTTATCAAGGTGCATTGGCACATCGCTCGAAAAGCATACGTTCCCAAGACAATAAAGCTGGCTGAAGGCCCTCCAGCACTGCTGGGGGCATTTGGGTACACTTTGTGATTGACTTTCAGGGCAGATGGACTATCCACGCGAAGACAAATGACGGTCCCGAAAGTAAGGGTTTCGTTGTAGAGGAGTATGTGCTGCCTACATTCGAGGTCAAGGTCAAGAACCCAACCTACGTGCCTGAGGGGGACAAAACCATCACCGTCGACGTCTGCGCCAAGTAAGCCATGCCTGATTGATGCTTGTGCGCTAGCTGATGAAGTGATTCGCAACAGCAAGACTAAAAGGCTTAGCCAAAGCGTAGAAAGCATTACAGTTCCTTGCGAGCTCTCATTGGCGGAAGACATTTCACCAACCGGCCACAGTCTACAGATTTTCCAATTCCATGCAATTTCCGTTTTACCGGGTTTTATCAGGTTTACCCAATTCGTAATGACTAGGGAGCGTCGTGCTGCAACATTGATTGCACGCACCGCCACCTATCGCTGCTGCAACGCCTTTTAAGTCCAGTGCAGTAAGAAGCGTTACAGGTTTGATGTCATACGAGCTCAACATCGATACTTTTTCCATCGCATCGAGTCACGTGAATGTAAGCTTCGAGGTGCTGTTGCCTAGCATTGGAGTGGATTCCCTAATGAGATATTTTCCATTGTCTAGTCTGAACAACTCTGCCTGAACGCGTCCTATAAATGACTGATGGATCAGGGCCTATGCTAAGCAAGCTCTTCACAAAGATCTTGACTCCACCAGACCAACGGCGTCCATCAGATTATTGCTATGAAATTCGAGGCATCGTAAAACGCCACATCACCGCCGCCGCGTGCAATCGTGTCTTTACGGTCAGTCGTTAGCGAGTCGTCTTTGACAAAATGCACAAACGAGCGCTACTTCTGGGACGTGGACCCACATAGCTTGCTAGCCTGGTGAACAGGTGTCTAGCGGGACGCCGACTTAGCCGCGGGCAGGGGCTATAGAAAGCCTCTCAAGTTAGAGGTGAGCTAAAAATTTTATCATTTCTCTCTAGACAATGACCGTATGGCCAATGGTGGACGGTTAGTGGGACCACTACTCCCTTGACTCCCCCACGCTCCACCCCCCCTAAGTCTGCACGCCTGGCCACGGCGATGTTATACCAATACGAGGCAGTATCAGAAGCGACGCATGCCAGGAAGAGCCGCGGTAATGAGCGGTACCATAATGCAGCAACTCCCCGGTGGTGGCGTTATAATCTGGTAAGCCATCGAGTGCTGGTCGGAATAGCAGACCCTGAATAGCTGATATTGCGGAGTGAATCCGTTCGCTCACTGCCATCTTTGCTCCCACTAGTGCTGAAACATGTCGTTACAGAGTAGTTATATCAAGTAGTTACAAATTGATGAGTCACCACGTTGAAATAGGCTTGCCGGGAACCACAGAGGGAAAGGTTTAGTATCAAAAACATTGACACGTTTTCATGGCCAATCATCAGCAGGAATCGAGGCAGATTAGGAGGCTAAAGCAGTATTGTGTCACGAACATTCGGATGCTGGACCAAACGTGGGGAAAACAAAGCTTGCTTGAAAACATTTACTATAAGATAGTTCGGGTGAATGCATGCCGTTGATTTTCTTCCACAGATTGTTCTAACATGGAGGTGGAATACTAGAGAGACGTAACCGAGCCTCTAGATTATTTATCAGCCTTTAGTAGTTCGCCTGGAGTGAAAAGTTTTTATGTTCAGGTGCAGAGAATATTCGACTGTCGTGTTCTTGTTCATAAGTCAATTGAAAACGGATTGCTGAAATTGTTTAGCTGATCTTGTTTGAGAAAAACAGGAGAACGGGACAAAATTACCCCTGCCTTGAAAAACACGTTCAATGTGTTGCGTAGCCGTTCTCCAACTGCCTCAGGTGCTGTGTTAGTAGGATCTGGTCGAGGGGATAACTTAGACCGAGGGAACTAGCACTCCATGCAGTACCATAACACGGCCGCCCAATGTCACCTTCATCCCAACGTCGTTTGACATAGGGCATGCGGGCACGACGTGAGACATGTTACAACATGAGCTGCAACAAGCCAGCTGCAGCATGAGCCTCTCAGGCTGTAACTTCATAATATACCTCGTTCAGTCCGTGGTAGCGGCCAAGCTCGCCTGTAATGACGACCAATATTCGCGACGAACGCACGGAGCATGGGCCCGCCAGCCTGCATTGATCATGCCACCAAAAAAGGAGCATGCAATCTAATAATCTTCTGTACGCGATGAAACTAACCTTTACCACCGGTAAGTGTCATAGCGTCATAGTGTCATATTTGTCAGCATTTCAGAGTGAGCCCCATGAACTGATTAGGGCTGGCGAAGCAGTGCACAGCGAATAAGATTCAGATTCAGATTCATATGTGTGTCCAGAAAGGATTCCTAATCATAGTGGCCTTTCATCTGGTGAGTCAATAAAATAAAACGTTGAGAATAAATGTCAATGGATTCCGTTGACGAAGCACACCATGTGCAACACGCATCTGCGGCCCCTTTCGCCTACTTTGTTTTTGTATTCTGTAGTCCCCTATGTGCGCCCCTATGTGCGGTATATTACAGCCGTCAGGTCTGTGCGCTCGTTCCCGCCACACATGATTACAGCCGTTAGGTCGGTGCGCCGCTCCCGCCACACATGATTACAGCCGTCAGGCCTGTGCGCCCGCTCCCGCCACACATGATTACAGCCGTCAGGTCGCTGCGCCCGCTCCCGCCACACATGATTACAGCCGTCAGGTCGGTGCGCCCGCTCCCGCCACACATGATTACAGCCGTCAGGTCCGTGCGCTCGCTCCTGCCACGCATGATTACAGCCGTCAGGCCTGTGCACTCGCTCCCGCCACACATGATTACAGCCGTCAGGCCTGTGCGCCCGCTCCCGCCACACATGATTACAGCCGTCAGGTCGGTGCACTCGCTCCCGCCACACGGGACCCGCCAAATTACGCGTCTCCTGCCAAATTACACGTGTCACGCCAAATAGTCCTCGCGCAAATGGGTGTGAACAACGTACATATTAAGCATCGGGAGAGGCCTCTGGTCAGATTTACCGTCAAAACAGTTGAAGCAAATGAGGACAAAAAAACAGTCCCCTATGTGCACCCCTGTGACCTCAGGTCACAACCATACTTCGTGGCTGTGACCTATAATGGCCGACATTGGTCAGAAATATCTGAACGTAAAATTCGGTGGACGAAGCCCTCCGAAATACGTCAACACGGTTCTCTGCGAGTGTGATGGAATCGCCACGCTCGCCGTGATGACAACGCCGGGTATCCGGAGGAGAGTTTTGTCATTTGCACTGCAGCCAAGCTGTGCCGCAAGACAACCGCTGCGCTCTCCTTACGTGTCGACGAGACTCAGGTTTACTTCTCTACCGCTGTGCGGCTCTGCACAGTGGTGCTAGGTGCTGGAAGCCGGAAAATCCGCCCGCTCAATCTGAAGCTCGCTGGTCTGGGAGTTTGGAGTCGGGGAGTCTGGAACATTTTTGGAAAATAAGTTTGTGCTTGCAGAATGCTTGCACATGGGTTTCGAAATGTATTTGGTGACGGTATGTTCCGCTGATTTAGCTAAAGCTGATGACCTGTTCCACCGAATGGAAATACATCTGGCTCCGTTTCTCCACGCATATGATCCACCAGGAATGCGTTGCATAAACTTTACGAGATGACAAACGCTGACCTTGCTTAACGCAGGTACACCTTTGGTCAGCCGTTGATTGGAGCCACCGTAACGATGTCTGTCACGGACGGTTCCAACCCAAACGAACGCGTCAAGTCGGCGACACTCTCTCGGTGAGTCAGCGACACTCTCTCGGTGAGTCAGCGACACTCTCTCGGTGAGTCAGTGACACTCTCTCGGTGAGTCAGTGACAGTCTCAGGCCGTGACACCCTTACAAGTGTCAGTGACCTCTTGACGTGGCGTCAGAGTTAAGCGATCACGGCCGTGACGCTTTGGGTGGTGTCATTAACCCAACGCCGGCGTCAGACGGTTGGGGTGCGACTCTGTCAGGTGTGATCCAGAAACAAAACCAGAACTGCGCCCGCGCGATGTTTTGCTGCTCAATCCCTTGTAGTGATATATATATATATATATATATATATATATATATATATATATATATATATATATCAATACCTTCTCGATACCTTAGAGACCGATACAAACAGACGAGACACGTTGCAGTGTTTCTGTTTTTACAGACGGACGAGACAGGCTGTGCATCGTCTGATCTGATTATGGATGAACTGTTCGCTCGCTTTGGTGTCGACGTAAGTAATCTTGCATTTGTGCTGCTTGGGGCACATGTGAGTGTGACACACACACACACACACACACACACACACACACACACACACACACACACACACACACACACACACACACACACACACACACACACACACACACACACACATACACACACACACACACACAGACAGAAATACGGTTGCACGACCCACGGGAGAGATATCCTCAGAGAACCTCAGGAGGGTCGCATCGACCCTCCCCTTTCTCTTACAGGGCTAGGGTTTAGGCGGCTGAAATAGTGTGGGACTGATCAGAAGTTTGGTAGGGTAAGAGTAGCGTGGGTCTGTTTGGCCCGCGTTATAAACACCTGTGACCACCCAGTAGCTGTCTTTCCGGGTGGCTGTTGTTCTAGAATGATACTTAAAAAATGGTCAAGCAGTTCTCAAACGCAAATACCCTCAGTGCTGTGTTGCTGGGCCACGGATTTTGTTGTTATCCATAGCCGTGCTGTGCCATATCAATGCATGCACCTGAGCGACGTTTGACTGTGCCAAACTATCGTTAAGTATAGTTAGTCTTTCTTTCTAGGATGGCGATTCTTTTCTAACAAGCGTTGAATAGTTTCGTTGGATTGCACATTGATAGGACACAATTACCTTTGGACGGCACCTTTCTGGTGGCAATCAATGCCCACCTCTGACATGGTACACGTGCACCTTATACTGTCAGTTCAATATCTTTTGTGTGACCCGCTCGACCTCAGCTCAGCATGAACGTCACTGTGGAGGAGTTTGGCACGGGTCTCAGCCAATCAGAGATGAGACCAGTGCACAGAGACATCTCCAGAACCGTCTCGGCCTCCGTTCCGGAGAACGCACAGCTGTTCATCAAGCCCGGCCTGCCCTACTACGGCCGGGTCAGTTTGGGTTTTTGCGGAGCGCGCTGACGAAGGCCATGAGTCATGCTGCCAGATCCTCGATGGACCTGTGTTGATGGGGGAGGGGGTGGGGGGGGGTGGTTGAGCTATCGCTTGGATGTCAGTGCAGCTCTGATGGTGGTCGTCGTAATTACCAATGCTTATGCTTAGACAGCCAAATATTTATGGAATCATGCTCTCGGGTTCAGAGTGGTCAGGCCTCACGGGCTTTACATTTCAGCGACATATACTGTAATTATTCATGTAAATACAGACTCATGACACTGCGCGTTGCACGCTACAACGGATTGTGAAAGAAGATGTAATATTTCGAATACATCTACCAAGGGTCAAATTGATTTCGGCGTATGGAAGTGAAAGCTGCTCTATGCGCGTCAGATGCCGCGAACTGCTCACCGCATGGCAAATACAAATATTTCCTCGGAGTGCCATAACATTTCAGCAAATATTTCGAGGTCGATGGTATTAAATACGCAATGCGAAGCATATTTGGATATGACTTGCTGGCGAACAGCATGCAATGCTTAGAGCATTGCGACGGTGCAAACGAAATGTGATCGCGCTATTCCAGCTCCACGTCAAAGAGAGGGATGGCTCGCCTTTCGCTGAAAAAATCGTGGAGATCTGCTTCGAAGCCAAGTACAAGGAGAAAGCCGCCGTGTGAGTGTGGTGTTCGTTGTGTTGCCGCTTGCGGGGTCAACGTTTGGCTGACTTTACGACCGAAGCTTGATTGTCTGTGACAGAATGTGTCTGATGCAACTGCTGAACTAGTTGCTTGCTTTGCACACCTTTTTGTCATCCAACTTATTTTTGTCATACACACTTGTGTATCGTAATAGCACGGAACTCCGGGACCATGACACGGAGGCGAGAGACAACGGCACTGGACAGCGGGACTATGGCACGGAGGCGAGGGACAACGGCACTGGACAGCGAGACTATGACATGGAGGCGAGAAACAACGGCACTGGACAGCGGGACCATGACACGGAGGCGAGGGACAACGGCACTGGACAACGGAACCATGGCACGGAGGCGAGGGACGACGGCACTGGACAGCGGGAGCATGACACGGGGGTGAGGGACGACGGCGCGGGACAGCGGGAGCGTGACACGGAGACGAGGGACAACGGCACTGGACAGCGGGACTATGGCACGGAGACGAGAGACAACGGGACTGGACGATGTGACTATGACTCGGAGGCTAGGGACAACGGCACTGAACAATGAGACTATGACACGGAGGCGAGGGACGACGGCACTGGACAGCGGGACCATGACACGGAGGCGAAGGACAACGGCACTGGACAACGGGACCATGACACGGAGGCGAGGGACGACGGCGCGGGACAGCGGGAGCGTGACACGGGGGCGAGGGACGACGGCACTGGACAGCGGGAGCATGACACGGAGGTGAGGGACGACGGCGCGGGACAGCGGGAGAGTGCCATGAGGTCGCGAGACATTGGGACATGAACACGGAGCCGGCAGGCGATACCAAGGCGCTCCATGGAATCTTCCCACCATTCGTCCAAACAGAGATGTAGGAGATCGGATATGTAGGAGATCAGATATGCAGAAGATCGGATATGGAGGAGATCGGATATGTAGAACATTGGATGTGTAGGGATCGGATATGTAGGAGATCGGATATCGGATACGTGTTTCACGCAGTGTGGCATGCCATTCCAGACAGAGCGGGGTGGACCCGCCGAGGACTCCTGCCGATGGCTTTTTTCTCGCCCATAAAAGGGTATGTCGGCTAGGGATAAACACCAGTGATTGGATAAAGAACGAGAAGATGCTCTTTCTTGGCTTTCACCTTGACACATGTGGTCTTTGTTCAGGCGGCGTTTTTTATTGCGTTCCAGCGCTATCGGCCGCAATAAGCATAAATAAGGCTGGGGAAGCCTGTCATTTCAAATGCCTCTTGAACAGGCCCATTTGAACTGTCCAGATATGCCCCACACCGTCACGTGCTGAGCTGCTGTGACCTGCACACCGTCCTGTTCTGAGCTGCTGTGACCCGACCAGGCCTCTATGGGACGATCACATCTGACCTAGTAAAATGATCTTCATGACCCTGACATCGCTTTACATCTTCCTCACTTACGGTCACCAGTTCTCTTTTGTCTTGCCCTGCCCAGCCACGCCCGCCATAACCCCCGCCGTGCCCTGCACGACACCTTCTCCTGCTTTGTCTTGCCCTAATGCAACCCTTCCTGCCCTAAAAACCTTTGCTCTACTTAGCCTCGACCCGACTCAAGCAACATGTCACCCGCTTTTCCTCTCTTCACGTTTTCGCCCCCCCCCCCCATTCAGACACGGCCGAACGTGGCTAATGTCGACCTGGTCTGCCACACCTTGACCTTGACCTTGACACATCTTTATGTTTGCCTATCTTGCACCTCCTACACTGTTTTGTTTGACCC